GGAAACCCCTACCGAGTGCTCCCGAGAGAGGCTAGCTTTTCAGGGAGACCCCTACCGAGTGCTCTTGACGAACAAGAAGTCAGCTTTTCGGGTATGGTTTATTAGAGTCCGTGATCAGGGGTTGCCCGTTCAACAACCAGTATCTTGTCTTATTAAGACGACCGTTCGACAACCAGATTCAAAAATATCCGCGAATCTCATCATTAAAAATATTAGTTATATATGAATAAGTGATTACTTTCCCGTAAGTTTTTCCTTCGCAGCGCGGTGTGGTAAGCGTTGCAGATTATGTGCTGGTGTTTTCTTGTTTGTTTTGATGGTGTACGATAAATTTCACGGTCGCTTTCATTTCTCCGTGTTCCTGTAGCAGTTTTTCGAAGACGAATTTCAGTCATTGTTGTTAAAGAAACGAAGTGTTAGAGACGAGAAAACTAAATTATTAAATAAATTTCAGTCATTGTTGTTGTTAAAGAGACAAAGTGTTAGAGACGAGAAAACTAAATTATTAAAAAGAATTTCAGTCATTGTGTTGTTAAAGAGACAAAGTGTTAGAGGTGAGAAAATTAACGCCAAGAATATCTACCCCTTTTTATTAAAGATTTTTCTGTGAAACAAGAATGTCGATCCTAATTTTTATTGATACATGTGCATCTTTTTACAGGTACATGTACATGTAGTCAGTTCGTTGTTAGTTTCATTATTGTTACGAAGCCAAATTTTACACCTTAACATTTACTATTAACTTAAATATTTAGCGAAGTCAACGAAATAAAAGATGCAGGTAAAAATACAATTGATTTCTTCGTAAATTATAACGCGCGTGGAAATAAAATGATATCCCCACATCTAAAAATCGGGTCATCGTTTTTTATAGTTAGTATTGAAGTCGATCAAAATTCTGTATTGGTTGCCATACGCGCAGCATGGTTTCGATTTCCTAATTTGATCGTTTTTCCTGAGACTTTGGGAAAGGTCACTTATTTTATGATTAGCGTTAGATTGACACAACTGTTTATCGTTATACAAAATTCGTCCGGTTTTGCATGATTCCGATGCACCCATTACAATTCAAGCCTGAAACAAATACATGTATATACGTACGTACTTTGTTGGCTTGCAATAAAAAATACACATACCAGTTCTGTATACACATGATTAAGGATAAAAAAAGTAATGATCTGATTATAAATGTAGTAAATTCCGGTACAACATCCCGAAAACCACAATCCCGACAGTTGATATCGATACGCCCGACAAACGAAATCTCGAAAGTTCAACATCCCGAAAGTCCAATATCCCGAAAGTTCAACATCCCGAAACCTAACTTATCGAACACTCAACATCCCAAATGCTTAATATCCCGAACACTAACATCCCGGCAGTTCAAAATCCCTAAAATTCAAAATCTCGACACTTCAAAATCCTGAAAATTCACAATCCAAAATCACGAGATTTAAAATTTATTGGTCACTTATTAAAATACTATATACGTACGTTACGACAAAAGATATATATATAACCTTGTTCTCTATTTAGCGTTAAAATATAGTATTTCCAGATCGGAGGTAGTTCGGGAGCCGCCGTTTTGTCTTAAATACGTAGTATATGTGCAATTTCATGATTTCATGTGTTGGAATTTTGAATTATCATTTCGTTTGTTGGGCAAATGGGATGTTGGGATTGTTGGTCGTCGGGATGTTGGGCGACACCCATTGAAATAGCTTACCAAATAAAATTTCTTATCTTTGAATAGTGTGTAATAAATGCGAGAAACGAATTTAATTATATAATTATGTTCTGTCTGATCTTCTTTAAGATGGTCCCGGCTAAAAGTTACAATATTAGCATATACAACAT